CGGAGGGAGGCAAGGGGTGGGAGATGCAGGGTTTGACAGGTCGACCAGGCAGGATGGATGTTTATGAGGAGGGAGAAGAGCAGACGCAGCAGGATGGAAGGCTCTCCTGGGGCTGCAGGCTGATTCTGCAGGCAGGCTGTCTGCGGGCCGTCCAGACTGGAGGCTGGACTCTAAGCTCCAGAGCTTAGAGTCTGGCAGCAGTGAAATAAAGCTGCCAGCCTAGCTCCAGCCAATTTGACTTCGTCAAATATTTGTAATTAAGATTTGCTTTTATATCACTTGCTGTGATAAATTTCACATAAACTGAGTGACGCTCAGTCTTAAATTACTCAGTGTTATGCAAAATTGATCCTTTCTTTTGAGTTCACGCTGCATGCAATTATGTGTAGAAAAGATATAAGAAGCGTAAGGCTGATTTGTGAGGAGAAAGCTACCCAACAAGACATTCCCACAAATACACAGTTAATGGAAAAAAATAATTTCTTTTTTCCTGAAAGATTCATTAGAGTTTTCACAATTGAACTTGTATTCACAACATGAGGTTCAAAGATGTGCTGATGCAACTAGATGAGGCCATCATTAGGCCGAACAAAAAAGTGGGGAGAGAAAAAATATATATATATATATAAATCACAGTCCTCAACCTTCCTGGGAAAGTCAAGGCCCGGGTGCTGGAAAGCAGAGTCCGTCTGTTAGTCGAACCTCAGATACAGGAGGAACAATGCAGGTTTTTGTCCCAGTTGCGGACTCTTTACCCTCTTGACGATACTTGAGGGTGCACGGGAGTTTGCCCAAACAGTCTACATGTGTCTTGTGGACTTGAAGAAGGCAATCGATCATGTCCCTCCGAGTGTTCTCTCTGAGGTGCTTCAATAGTATGGGATTGTCTGGCCTGTTGCTACGAGCCATTCGATCTTTATACAACAACTGCAAGAACTTGGTCCGAATAGCCGGCAATAAGTTGGACTCGTTCCCGGTGGGAGATAGACTCAGGGTCTTAAGTTTTAATGCAATACTTCTGGGAGAATGAATTACAGATAAAAGTCTGCACTTCAAACTTGTCATGATTGTTTGATTTAAAATCCACTGTGGTGCTGTACAGAGGCAAAGGCAATAATTAATACTTATTTAATATATATGTTTTAAAAAAAAGTAAAAGTGTACAGAAAGATAAATTTATATTAATATATTTAAAAATCCTGTTGTTAACATAGTTGCAGAGGTCATGATGACTCTGATTTTATTATATTTTTATTACAGTCAAGGACTAACCTTACAATCACCATGCCTCAAAAGCAACGGCAAAGCTAAAAATGGAAAAAAAGCCTCTGAATAATGCAAGATTGAGGTGTGATGAAAGATGTGCCCAAAGAAATTAATGAGACCCACTTTCACATTGATTGTGGCAGGGCAGAAAGCTAATCTGAGCTGCACTTGGGTGGCTTTTCTGTGGACAAACCTATTTTCAAGAGTGCTGATGTCCTCATTTAGACCACGAGTCTTCGGTTCTTGGGAAATTGAGATGGAGACGGAAATGTTGGTGTAGCTGCCTGTGATTGCAACTGAGTCATACCTCTTCAAAGCATGCACTCGAGTAAATCACATGGGGTTTGTGTGTGTGTGTGTGTGTGTATATATGTGTTAGCAATAATAATTGAGAGCACTGTAGGTCATTAGTCACCCTGACACTAAGCTCAGTCTCTGTATTAGAGGCACACTGCCCTTTACACTCCTCACTGGGCAGTGCAAGAAGTTCCTTTCTCATGCATTTCTTACTTTAGGTGTTTCACTCCTTTTTCCATGGTTTCTAAAACTTTGTGTAGCTTGAAGAAACTCTGTATCTGTATACTGCATATAACTAAAATGACTCAAAGAGCAAGAAACCATTACATTTCTCTTATCAGTTACTCTACCCACTGGCTTATCAAGTAATTCTCTCAATTCCAAGATGAAGCAAGATAATATCTACGAATGCCATATTTTGTCTTATTGTAAATATTCATGCAAATGTATTATATTTGTTCATAAAAGAAAGTTCATAGCACATACTGTGCTAGCACATATGCAGTTTTTGGTCCACACAAAAGAATATTGTGCAACGATATGTGAGAGAACAGAGAGAAAACATTGCAAATTTATGACTTTAAGACATGCCCAAAGGGCTTTCTTTGCTTGAATCTTAATCTGCACATCAAACTGGAAAAAACATCGCCTACTTCAGAAATATTTTTCCCAGAGTCATGAACATAGAGAAACTACAGCAAGTATAAGGTATAAATGTAAGACAGCTTAGTTGACATGAGCAAAAACGTTGTACTCTAATAAATGTGATTAGTAGCACATTATACAAGAACCAAGGACAAACCAACAACAGCCCCTAATAGATCTTAAAGGTCTTATAACGGAGCCTTGATGAATCTAAAGACGATGGTGAAGTTATACTGAAAGAATTTGAGTTCAACACTGAATAGAGGCTTTTCTTATGAATGGAAAATCGATGTAGTCAGATTTCAAAAGAAAATTATTTTTTCCAGTAAAAAGCATGTTGAGAACAAATGGATACTGAAAATGGCTGATCACACAAAACCCTTGCAAAGTTCAATTTATTTATTTACCTAAACAAAACCAATAGTGTTGGGGCTATAATGAATTGCAACGTCTTCAATCAGATCTAGCGAATGGGTGAGAGCCATAAATGTACAGAAAATCCATCCAATCGTCACTTAGATCTGTTGGGGACCCAAAGTTTAGAGTGGTGGTTCTGAAGCTGTGTGTTGGGCTCTCTGAAGGCCTGTAAAAACTCGTGCAATGTGCAACACCATATTTTCCCTCCCCAGTCCACTCTGTTACATTAGCATTCCAGTTTTGGGAACCTGAAACATCTCAAGTCTTCAAGTGTGTTCAATAAAGAATACAAAGGCAAAAAAAAACCCCACAGTGTGTCAGTAAATTTTAAATTACTTCATTTTAAAATAACTTAAAATTATTGACCACTAATGGAATTGCAGAGTGGATGCAGATATTATATCAGATATATATGCATGAAGGACAAATGATTGGACTAATTAATTCTTCAGGGATGTATTACACACACTCACTCTACTGGATAAGCTTTATGATGAAATCAGCCTCTAAGAGTCTTTTTCTGCATTATGCAGTTTGATAAACAGCCTACAGGATATGCTGATACTGACATAACTGTTAATGTTTAATTTAAAAGCTTAAAGGTCTGGCTTATCTTAGTAAATCTTAGCAGATTCTAAGACCATTCATTTTGGATTAATTCACTTAGAAAATACCTCCTGAAATACAAACTTGTGATAAGAACGAATTAAAAAGCACAGAGAGAGTGCAGAAAAGCTCAAGTGAATGCAACTTTCACAATACGACCACTCTTTCATGTGGTGAGCTTTCATGTGAAGGACTGCATCTGTGAATCTGCGGGCACAGACGTCTACATGGATCCATCTTAGTTCTGTCAAGCTAAGGTAATTAAGTTTGAGCAGAGAAAAATATTAATCTGCATGGACTCTTTGTTAGATTCTGTAACTGATTTTAAAAAGAAATTATTTATGAACTGAGATTTGTCTAAATTGGGTTCATCTGATGTGAATGTCAAGTATTTCAAGCTTGTAATTTAACTTTGAACTTACAAGAGTGTGCGCTTGTGTGAGACAGACGGATGTGGGAGTTTACATGTTGGCAGAGTTTTGAGTGCAACTGACATTAAGATCACTTATCAAAGCTTTCTGTCAGTCTGGAAGATATGTGAAGCACCAAAGAGGCATCAACCGGCTTGTCATCATTTTTTTTCCCCAGCCCACTCACCACATCATCTTTTTTACTTTAGATTTTGATTTCTCTAATAAT